ATTCTCCATTCTATTTTGTTGTATGGTTATCTAACAATGGACTCTTTTTTTTCCCCTCCATATTTTCATCTTTTTAAATTTTTATTTTTATCTTACCATTTTATTCTTATTCTTCACTTCTTTCTAACCTCTCTTCAACCTGCTATCTTCCTCACATTCCTTATCAAGGGCCTTTCTCTCCCTTCTTCCTGTCTGGCCTCAGGATCTACTTATTCTCTTTTCGTCGCATTCTGTCTTGTATATTCATTTATCTATCTTTTCCCTCCTGTCTCTCTCAACTTCATTCTCATTACATAGCAAGAGTTGACCGACAACCGTTTCTGTATCTGTATCAATCAATCAATCAATCGAAGAAAACACAAGCTTTCAAAAATCACATCACATGAGGAACCTGGCGCGTGTCCGCACAACGCATGTCCTGTGAGATACGACATGACGTATCGGCTATCACTGCTCGTCGGAAGTAAGAGGTAATGGTAACGAAAAAGGTGTCTGCTCTCCTGAACAAGCCCCCCTTCTGCCTACTCTCGACATCACCTCCGATGTCTAGTGGTTCCCCTCTGTGCTGCTGCTGCTCACATCGGACATTTGTTCCGCCGATGACCTTCTGATGGATGAAGAGGCCCAAGGGAATCAAAGGAATAAAGAGAGAAGAGGGTGACGAATAGGGGTTGTAACTAACTTACAGATGAACGGATACGGATGATTATGAAGGAGTACAGAAAGAAGAGGAAAAAGCTGTCCAAGATGTGTAAGAGTGTGATGCTGATGCTATCTAATCTGTGAGAGTAACATGTTTTTAGATATACAATATAGAGAGAAGGCGTGTGCGCGCGTGTGTGGCCTGACCTTGCGGCGGCGCACTTGGGGAAGAAAAAAGAAAGAGTGAAGAAGAAAAAAAGATTCCCACAGTTTCCTATCATCTATTATTGTAGGCTATATATATATATATATATATATTTGGGAGAGGGATAGAGAGAGAGAGAGAGATAAAGTGATGATAAAAGCGCTTGCAGGTTGCGGGGTTGCGTTCCCTGTTTTGCTCGTCTGTAGAAGACAATGTGTGAATACAGAGAGAGTATGAATATTGATAATCATGACAATAACAAGTCACCTGATGTCTACTGGTTTCTTTCTTCATGGTCAAAACAGCAAGATTAAGATTCAAAAAAAAAAAAAAAAAAAAACGTTGGTGATGGGATAAACTCTTGCAGATGGAGGGGGGGGGGATACATGATAGTCACTATCCTTCCTATAGACTATATAATCAACTGTATACAATATTACATGCGTCTTGTCACATACATCATTTCTCATTCTTCCGTCCTCGTGCGACCTGCTTCCCTACTTCCTTGTACGAGCATTACAAACTCTTCTTCTTCTCTTCTCTTCTCTTCTCTTCCCCCTCCCCCCCCCCCCCCTCCAAGACGCCCTGCCTTGTTTGAGAGGTGGGAAGAGTACATCTGACACAGCTCTGTTTATGGATGGGTGGAAGAATCTTCCTCGGGAAACTCATTCACGAGCAGTGATAATAGACACCTTCTGCGGTACGAGTCATCTTCATCGGTTCCTTCTTGACCTGCTCTACATGTACTTGCCTCCGTCGTACCTCTCTCGTGATACAACAAACAGCAGCAGCAATCATCTCAAATGCTACGTTTATTCCTCTCTCCCCAATTAAACCCTCCCCTGAATAGCTAGCTAGTATGAGAACTTCTGCCTGTCATGTTATTTTGCAACATCATTCTTTTCTCTCTCTCTCTCTTGGTATCTTGGGGTGATTTTTCTCTTCTCTTCTTTTTCGTTGCTCTTCTTCCTTCCTTCTTCTTCTTTGTTTTATGAGAAAAAAGAGAAAATCTAACCTTGCTTGGAGAGAGGGGGCAAAAAAAAAAACTCTCTAATTTCCTTCGGTCCTCTCAACACCGGTCAACCAGAAAACTGAAACTTGGCAGCTTCGAGCTGACCCAGGCCGTCACGAGGGGCCACGTTCCGGCGACGATACGCATTCGTAAAGTCCTGCAGGAGAACGCGCACGCCCCTGACCCCTCCGTCCTCGGGCCGCAGCTGAAGCTTCTCTCCGATCTTGGTCAGGAGCCTCTCCGCCTCGACCGGCGGCATGGTACCCTCGGGGAGCATGCGGATAGTCTGAGACACCCACGCCGTCGTCTCGGCCGGGAGCAGCTCAAACAGAGAGAGGAGGACGCCGGAGCCGTCGGCGAAGCAGTCGCGGGGGAAGGTGATCATCATGCCTGCCATGACCTGCTTCACCAGGCTGGGGCCGTGCGATGCCAGGAGAGATCGCACGACCGCCTGCATCTGCGCCTTGGCCGGCTCCGAGATGTGCTCGCTCGTCGCCGGGTTGTCGCCTCCGTAGGACAGCAGGTCCCGGAGGAAGTGGAGCGTCGACGACAGCGGGTCGCGCTGCTCCAGCGTCAGCGCGTACACGGCCGCCTCGAAGATGGGCGCCATGAGCGGCGACGGGAGGAGACGCTGCGAGTAGTACAGCAGCGCGTCAATCATCAGACGGAAGAAGTCGTCGATCACGTCCGGCAGCTCCTTGGGCTGCAGCTCCGTCATCACCCGGAGGAAGGCCGTCGTCTGCGCCTCGAAGAAGGTGTAGATGTCGTCCGTCGTCCCCTGGTCCACGTGGTCACGCTCCTCCGAGAACTCGCGCAGGATGGCCGACGTCACCCACAGGAAGCAGCCCTCGCGCGACGCTGCGAAGCCGGTCGCCAGCTTGTTGGCCATGTCCGGCAGCATCGGCGAGATGGCCGTCCGGTACGAGATCACCATATTCCGCCAGCACCGGCACACGCGCTCGCAGATCGGGCTGAAGTCGAGGAAGTTGTCGAGCACCGTCGCAAGGATAGGGAACACCTCCTGCCAGTACTTGATAGCCGGGTTCTCCTGGCCCGGCTTGACCGGCGGGATGACGTTTTGCACGAATACCGTGATGAGCTGGAGGTGGTCTAGGTACACACACACACACAAAGTCGTCAGTCTCTTGCTTACATGTTCCTACATCAGGAAAGGGGGAGGAGGAAGGGAGAAGAAAAAAGAAAAAAAAGGGGAGGGGGGAGGGGGGAGGTTTTGTCGTCGACTCACCCGCCAATGCTAGCTTGCCGTCCTCGTCGGTGGCGGCGTTGGCCTTGTCCATGAGCCTCTGGATGAGAGGCCCGCAGTACGTCTTGAGAAGGCGGTACGTCTCCTCGACCGGCTGCACGGCGACGACGCTGGCGACGCCGTCGGTAATCTCCTCTTTGCTGACGTCGGGGAGCTGGTCGAGGACGGAGTCGTAAAAGGTCTGCAGCTGGAGGACCTGGCCGCTCAGGAGGTGCTTGCAGTCCTGGCAGAAGAACTTCATCGACAGGGCGGCGGCGCGGGTGATCTCCTTGGAGTCCGACGAGAAGGACGAGACGATGTAGCTGAACTGGGGCTCCAGGTACTCGGGGTGGGCGGCCGTCCACTCGGTGTATCGGCCCAGCACCATGATGGTGGCGAACCGGAGCTTCTCGTGGTTGGGGATCTGGACGAGGAGCGGCATCAGCTGGGGCAGCACGACGCCCTCGTCGCGGTCCACCATCTTGCCCAGGGCGCGCACACCGAAGATGGGCGCCTCGAGCTCCTGCCAGTGCGGCACCGACGTCTCCGATGCCTGGCTGGCGTACTTCTGCATCCACACCTGGATCGACTGGAGGACCTTGTTCAGGCACTCGGTCACGCCCAGCACCTCGCACGAGTCCTTGAGCGTGTCGCCCATGTGGTGCCGAAACTCGCGGAACTTTTCCTCCTGCTCGCGGTCGCCGTCAAAGAGGTCCGCCTCGTCGCCGCTGTCGGGCTGGGGGTAGCACAGCTGCCTGAGCAGGATGTCGACCAGCTTCGAGTAGACCTCGGCCAGGGCCAGCCTGCTCTCGATGTAACGGTCCAGGACGAGGTACTGCTTGAGGTCGTACCAGAAGTTGAAGGTGAACTCGATCACGTCCTTGTCCGCGTCCTTTGCGGCGCACTGCAGCACGGCGTCGACCAGCGGCTTGAAGTGCGAGGGCTGACGCGCGATAGCAACCACCCAGCACTCGGCCGCCGTCGCGAACACCTTTGTCAGCGCCTTGAAGCGCTCCGTATCCTCTTCCTCGACCACCGTGTCGATCTGGGATCCCAGCGCGATGATGCGTGGAAAGAGCACCTCGATGACGTCCTGGCTCTCGTCGACGTCTGCCGTCTCCCTGAGTATGGTGCAGAGGCACTCGGAAGCCTCTTGCGTGCTGTCGTCGCCCGACACGCCGTTGAACACGATATCCAGCAGTGGTGACTTGACAATGTTGGCGACGGGAACCTCCCTGAGCCAAGAGGTGAGACACTCCATGAGCTGGGGGTTCTGCGCAGCGGCAGCTGTCGGTGGAACGTCAGCAGCTGCAACGGGTATGGCACGGTGGTAAAGACGTACGCGAAGATTGTGAGTAGTTTAGCAGGAGCTGCACGACATGGTCGGCGTTGTCGGCCAGCAGGGCTTGAGTCCGGGCCGCCAAGTCCTCTTCCTAGTTCGACATCATCAAGATTAGACACGTCCCTCTTCTCTGCTTCTATTCTTCTCCTCTGCCCGCTGCTGATAATCCATCATCGACCGTAGGGGGGTGGAGGGGTCGGTGGCGAAGAGAGAGAGTATCGGTTCAAGCCGGCAAGAAGTTTTTTTTTTTTTTTTGGCGCGTTCCACGTACAGAGAGGGTGATTTTTCGACCTTCGGTCACCTCCTCGGGCAGGACCCGCAGGAAGTCGAGTATGGCCGCGTGGCTCTCGGGGCTGCTGCTGAGCGACGAGACAACGGACTGCAGGACGTCGTTCCAGTCCTTCATCTGTATGGCCAGGATGGCCAGGCAGACGGACAGCTGTACACGGATGGGCTTGGGCCCGGAAGCGTAGCGCTGGAGGAGGAGGAGGATCTGGTTTCGGAGCGAGTCGAGTTCGGCCGGGGAGACCTGGGTGGCCAGGTCATAGGTGATCTGCAAGGCGAGGAGATGTCAGCATCGTGACAGAGCCTACACATCTGGCCCTCCCCCTCTCCCTCCCTTACCTTTCCGCGGAGCGTAATGGCAGCAAACAGCGTAGCCTCGGGCTCGGCCTGCTCCTGGAGGATACCGATTGTCGTGGCCCAGGAGCCTTTCTGCACAGAGTTAGGATCGTCCGTTTCCGCGGGGGTTGCCTGTTCCGTTCCCGACATACCGACTTCTGGAACCGCTCGAGGTACTCGTGAGCCTTCTTCTTGCTCTCCTGCTCGCCACCCCGCATCGCCATGACAGCAGCCAGGACGTCGGTGGGCGCAAAAGCCTCGCCATCGGCGTTGGAAGCCATGCTTGCACAGGTGTCGGAGGCGAGAATACTGTCGCGCGTCTCTACAACCAAGATGCTGACTCTTCTGTCTTGATAGCCCACGACCCGAGGCGCGTGCGGGCGCATAAAACAGGGAGGAAAGGATGGTGCTTTGCGGCCGGTTCGTTGGGGGTCGCCGCGCGGGGAAATAAGGTCCTGGGTTGGATCGGCTCGCGTGCCTTCAAGGCTGGATCTCGGTCGTCTTTCCAAAGGAAGGGGGAAAGAGAGGGAGGGAGGGAGGGAGGGAGGGAGCAGAGATGGAGGCTGCGGTGCAGGCGTGTCTCGAGATTTCCTGGTGGCGCAGGATAAAGGGGGGAGAAGAGCAGATAAAATGAGGGGAGGATAAGGATGTTTGAACAGCGTGACGCCCACCAAGGTCGTTGAAGTCGGATTCTCTGCTACGTACTTCCCTCTGCTGGTACCAAAAAAGCCTATGACATGTGGAGCCGGGCATTGGCGGGGCAAAATCACAAAATTAACCCACCAGGCACAGAGAAAGATTGCGACGGCGGCAGCAGGGTTTTTCCATCCCCCGAGGGGGGTTGGTTGGACAACGTGACAAAAAAAAAAAAAAAAAATATATATATATATATATATATATATATGTATGTATGTATAAAGCAAACAAGATGTTACATCACCGCCCAGGCTTTCATATCTCGTATATGAACATGCCGGAACGTCGGTATCAGGTTATAGAGGGGAAGGAGTATGATGTCTGTATGAGAGTTGAAATACCCTGAGGATAAGTACGCTATGCAGATCCCCCATCAGATATGTGACCCGTAGGTAGCTCTACGACTCGTATCCTCCACGTAGGCCGTCCTTTCTTCTTCTTCTTCTTGTTCTTCTTCTTGTTCTTCTTCTTGTTCTTCTTCTTGTTCTTCTTCTTGTTCTTCTTCTTTCTGTCACCCATTCCCCAGTGTGGGCGCTCCGGACCGACAGCCAGCCTCGAAGTTCTGCTCAGGCAGACTATGGGCTGCGACGGCAGATACTCTCAGCAACAGCGTACAGGGTAGAGAGGCGACTCTGGGAGGGCCGCCCTCTCATCCACTCCCATCACAGCCACCTTTGACGTGAACGACCCCTCCGCCCCCGCACCGGATGAGGCTACGGGGGTCTCTGCTCGGCGAGTAGCCGGGGCCCCGACACTGCCGAACACTCGGTAGACGACGGGGCGATCACCTCGGCACCATCCCCAGTATCTCTCCATTCCCCAGAACAAGGCCGTGCAGACAGCGGTCCAGCGGCCCGACGGGAATCTCCTGGCCTGATCCGGGGGTCAAGAGCTGCTCCGTCAGGCCCAAGGCGTAGAGCTGCAGGGTGCTGTCCTGGTCTCCGGGGATGCCCTGCCTCGCAAGGTAGCGGTTGAGGAAGAAGTCATAGAAGCCCTTGCCGTGTCCAAGTCTCCGGACACGTCCGGCCTCGTCGACGTCAAAGGCGACGCCCGGTAGGAGCATCAGGTCGATGGTGGTGGTGACGGAGGTGGCATCCGGTGCGCCGCCGAGAACACGCTCCCGGCCGTCGACGGTGGCCGGGTCGATGCTGGGTATACCCCAGTGATCCCTCCGGAGAGTCTCGTAGTCGTGGAGGCTACGGAGACGGACCATGTCCATGACGCGAGCCGGAGCGTCCGGTGTCGTCTCCTGCAGGGAAGACTTGTGGAGGTACGGGACAAAGACATGCTTGCCTGCGCTCAGGGCGTGACGGACGATGGCGTCAGTCTGCACCTCGGCGGCAGGCATGGACAGATAGACGCTTATGCGGTCTGCATCCTGGTATGGCTTGAAGGACTGGATGGCGTCGAAGATGCGTATGCCTTGGGTAGTATTGTAAGCACTTGTTGGGCTTCGACTGCGCGGCACTGTTGTCTGCCGCCTGGAGGGATTGAGCCTGATATCACGATATCCGACATACTCTGCGATGATACGGAATCTTGAGTCACGCCAGCGAGGCGCTGCTTCATGACAGCCCTGAGCTGCTGCTTGGCAGCCGTCAGTGTCGATGCCATGTCTCGCACACGGTGTCGTCCCGTCCCGCCTGTCTTGCAGGTACGTGTACGGTGGCGAGTACGAGTATCCGTACCTCTGAAGAAGAAGAAAAAAAAAGAAAAAAGGAAGGAAAAAAAAAAAAAGGTGAGACGCTATCGGACAACAAGGCTGGATGGGTAAGCAAGCCGTGGCAGGGTCTACGAGTAAGGGCCGCCCAAGGATGATGATGGATGGTCGAGATGGGTAAGTGGATGATGAATGATGGAATGGATTATTAGGTGGTGGTGGTGCTACCCACTTTTCCCAGGATATCGGTTGGAAGAGTCTTGGCCCTCTAGGACCCAGGCCCACCACCACGCTGCACCGCTATATGATGATATGTACGTACATGTACGAGCATCATACGCTGCACCTCTGCTGGGGGCCATACCACCTGCTCTCCGTACTGGTCGTATGTACGTACGATACCGGGCCCAGCTGGCTGGCCGATGCGGTGCCAGACACAGCTTCGCAGAGCAACGCGTGGGGCTCGAGCAGGTACATGTATGCATGCCGCATCACGTCGCCTGACGCGAATCGATTGTGCGTCTCGACAGACGTACACGGGCTGAGGCGTGCCGCGCCACCATGGGCAGCGTATAGCGGGAGCCGGAGTGGTAATGCTGGCCAGATGATTCGCTCCCTCCGTCACCTACTGTCAGGGCCAGGCAGCACGATGCATCCCGGCGGCGTCTCGTCTCTTCCATGCTGGTGCTGCACGTACGGTATACGGCTAGGTAGCGATGCTCGCCGTGCCAGCGACTCAGCTAGTACCCATCGTGTCCCGATGTAGCGTGCTGCGTCTCGTCGCCGATCTGCGGATCTACAGAATAGCGTGACGTAGCGATACATTCGCGATACATGGCCGGATCGTGCATGGATCATATGTAATCAGCCGTCCGTACCACGACGAGCGGTGGGGCAGGATGAATATTTGGGAAGGAGCATGATGTCTTACCGAGCGCGCCTTCCTTGAAAACCAGGTGTACTCTGATACTCTCTGTTTCAATTTTCCCAATTTTCCCAGTTTTCCTCCGAATCTTTTCCGCCATGACTCTTCTCTTGTCATTCCTTTCCACCCTTTCAGCGGGATGGATAGGAGCAATCGATGAGGCTGTTCAGATGACTTGACGGTACCGTCATCCGTACTATTACTACATCACTGCTATCACTCTCGATACATGTAATAGATATCACGATATCGCGTATAAACACCGTACACGTATCCGGGGGTCAGGTGTGGCTACTCTGTGACGTCACGACGACGGTCATCGTCCGAAGATGAAGCAGCTACTACTCTGTGTAGCGTTCCGACACGTTACGTGACCGACAGCATGACCGACAGCATGGCCAACAGGATGATGGACATTTCACATATGCGACACCCAGGGTAGCAGGTCTGTAATCACCATGAGAAGAAAGAAAAAAAAAGAAAAAGAAAAAAAAAGAAGAAGAAGAAAACTACCGAGTATGGAGTATTACTTAGTAATCTGTAATCCGTAGTCATCTGTGGTCGTGATGCGATAACACCGGCACCTAGCCGTCAGTAGCATCCACCTGCTCGCACTCAGCCGTGAAGAGGAAGAGGATACCTTGGCACTGCTCCCATACGGTCATATCATTACGATTAATTACCATCACTACTGCCTAGCAGCTATTCAGCCATCGCTGATATCGTCAGCTGCTAACGAGTACGATACCACCGCTAGCATCGTCTGCTAGTGCCAAAGTAGCCGCACATCCCTGCTCTGGATGGGAGGCCAGGACGAATGATCTTGACAGTATTAGCGAGTATCTCTCATTCTTCATCACTAGCTAGTTTCCCGGGGCAGGAGAGGATGATTGCGACGTAATCCGTGCTGGTAGCCGTGATGGTTAGTAACAGCAGTAGCAGTAATCCGTACTAATTTTTTTTTTTTCAATATTTAATATATATATATATATATATATATATTGCACCCACGATTGCAGGGATTACACAGCTACGCAGATCTTTCTCGGTCACTAGATAATTCGTACATATAATCTGTAATAGTAATACGATATTACTACTCGTACTCGTACGTCGTACCCGTCCCCTGCTCTCCGCTCTTTTTTTTTTCCTTCTCCTGCTGGGGCCGATGCACACCGTCTGCACCGTCACCGCACCTTGCATCACCTGCATCTCCCCATCTACTCGTACTCGTACCTACTCATTGCAGTCACGCTCGCACCCCTCTAGAATCCTCCGATAGACTATCCCGTACTCATCCCCTACCACGTACCTATACTCATACCTACGAGTGGATCGCGTCAGCCAGTCTCACCTGGTCGACAGACCAACCGACTTGATTCGCTTCATC